GGTGATGCGTTGGTCCAAGAAGTATTTGAGTGTTTGATAGTTCGTGAGGATGGTGAAATGGTGGCCAATTAAATAGGAACGCCACTTTTGGATAGCATACACCACGGCCAACATTTCCTTGTCATATACCAAGAGCGAGTGGTGTTTGGGCGCCAAGGACTAATTTAGGAACTCGATTGGGTGGCTATCTTGGGAGAGTACGGCCCCAAGGCTGATATTAGAGGCATCACACTCCAAGGTTAAAGACTTGGTGAAGTCGGGGAATGCGAGTACTGGGAGTGGTTAATAGAGCTTCCTTGAGGGCTGAGAAGGCCGTTTCTACTGCTGAAGACCATAGGAAGCTGTCATTCTTGAGTAAGTTCATGAGAGGCTTCGCAATGAGCCCAAATTGGCGGACGAACTTGCAGTAATAGCCGGTAAGGCCCAAGAACCTATGCAAAGCTCAGACGGTCGAAGGAGTTGGCCACTCGATAATAGCTGTTATTTTGGAGGGATCGACAGTAACTTTTGAAGCTGAAATTATATGACCCAAATAAGCAATGGCATTCTGTCCAAACAAGAACTTAGATGGTTTCAACTGAAGTTGGTGCAATTGGAGAATGTCAAAGACAACGGCTAAATGAGAAACATGGTGGTACAAGGAATCACTGAAGACCAAGATATCATAAAAAAAAAAACAAGAATAGATTTCCTGAGGAGAGGCTTTAAGATTGAGTTCATTAGTGCTTAGAAGGTGGTTGAGCATTTGTAAGGCCGAATGGCATGACAATGAACTCGTAATGGCCCTCATGGGTGTGGAATGCCATCTTGTTAATGTTCGGTTCGTACATACGGATTTGGTGGTAACCGGAACAGAGATCCATTTTGGAAAATACGACCGCACTGTGCAACTCAGCCAAAAGCTTATCAATAATGGGAACGGGGCAGGAATCATTAATGGTTACTGCATTGACCGCTCGATAATCCACACAAAAACGCCAAGAAGAGTCGCCTTTAGCCACCAATAAAGCCGGGGAAGAAAATGGACTCATGCTGGGACGAATGAGACATGCAGAGAGCATCTCTTTTACTTGGCGCTCAAGTTCTGCTTTTTGGGCATGCCCGTAGCGGTAAGGCTGGACATTAATCGGTCATGTGCTCGGCAGCAAAGGGATGAGATGATCAACAGCACGGTGTGGGGGTAAGGAGCTTGGTGGTTGAAAGAGCTCTGGGTACTGGTTGAGGAGAGCTTGAATATGTTCTAGGGTTGAGGAAGGAGGCTGGTCAGGTGTGGTAAGGCTGGAAAGGTGAGGGAGGGCACGGAAGGCAGATGCCTCAGAAACAGGGGATGCAAGGGCGAGCAAGGTGGAAGTCCTACCAACCAATAATTTGTTCCGTGGATGGAGAACTCCATAACTTTAAGCAAAAAGTTCCAACCAATGAAGCCTAAGGTTTCGAGCCAATCCACTCCTACCACCATGTCGCAACCCGTCACTGCGAGGAGGTGGAAGTTACTAGTAAAAGTGTAGCCTTGAAGGTGGACAGAAACCTGGGAAGCCACCCTTCTGGTGCGAAACAACGGCCGGTGGCCACCATGACCAGCTCGGTGTGTGAAGTATCAATCTGAAGGCCCAAACAAGTCGCCACTTGGGGGTTGAGGAAGCTCTGATTAGCGCTAGAATCAATAAACACCTGGATTGGTGTAGGACCAATGAATCCCTCAAGTCACATAGCACGGCCCTGGGCACGTTTTGTGACGGAAATGGTGTGAAGAACTATAGGGTGCTCCGACTGTTCCACGACGGTGGTAGGTAGTGGAATCTGGTCCTTGGGGACCTAATTAAGATCTGGACAATCATCATTCACCAATAACATGAGAATGTGAGATTGTTTGCACCGATGACCCAGATGGTATTGTTCATCACAAATGAAGCAGAGACCTTGCTCTCGACGGTTCCGTATTTCCGTTTGGGTGAGCTGGAGAATGGGTTTAGCAAGGTTGGAATTATTTGTGGTGGAAGGAGGTCGTGGTTGAATTGGACGGGTAGAGGGGTTGAGTGAGGGGGAAAATGGTGGTTTAGAGTAGTAGGTGGATGAACGGGTGTTCCCGGAACGCACCACGGATCGGCGTCCTTGTTTTTGCTTGAAGATATGAGCCAGTTCAATGGCGCATGCAAGGGAGGACGGGCTCAGAGCAACCACATCATCATGTAGCTTGTCCTTGAGGCCCCCTAAGAACGCCCCGAGGAGCTGCGCATCGATCCAGTTCGTAGTGCGACAAGAGAGGTGGATGAACTGTCCCATATACGCCTCGATGGTGGTGGTTTGGATGATATGTGAGAGGGCCATGTTAAAGTTCAAGGAGTCGGTCAGACCAAAGCGCTGAAGTAGTTGGGTGGTGAAGGTGGCCCAAGCTGAGAGAGGGAAGCGCATCTTGAACCACTGAAGCCAATGGGCCGCATCACCGCCCAGATAAAGGTCGGCCACTATAACTTGGTGGGACTTGACGATTTCATGGTAGTCCAAGAATTCTTCGGCCATTGCTAGCCACCCGTAAGGGTTATCCCAAAAAAAAACGAGGAAGTTCGATCTTCGGTGTCTTAGGTCCAGAGAGGGTTGGGGAAGTGGATGTGTATGGCTAGGTATAGGAGGGCTCGGAGGTGAAAAGAGGAGGGTGAATGCGTGTGGATGGTGGGGGAAGATAGCGGGAGGTGGAAGGACGGCTCATAGGTTGAGTGGTGGCGGACAGTGGTGGTGTGAATGGAAGGGATGAGGGTTAAACAGTCATGTGGGATCCTAAAGGTAGGGCTATGGTTAATGGCTGGGAGGGCGAGAGACCCCAGGTCGATGGTGGAATAGGAGTGTGGACAATGGAGACGTGGGTGGGGCCGAGAGAAATGGGAATCGATCCGATTAGGATTTGTGGGCTGGGTTGGGGTGGGATTCGGAGAGCACGAACTTCATCGAGGATCGTCTGTTGCAGTTGGTCTTGGCGGATCTGGTGGATCGAAAGCTCAGCGAATGAGTGCTGGAGTTCGTCATAACGGACGTTCAACGACGAGATGGACTCATGAAATTCCTGGAACTGGTCGAGGATCTGCTGGTGCTGAAACTCACGGTCTAGCTCATCCTCTGTCACCTCAGCCACCGTGACCGAGGCTTTACTTTTGCCCATAGGTGCACACCTGGGCTCTAGATACCAAATGGTAGGTTCCAGCAGCACCAAAGAGATAATTGCAGAGAAAATGAAAATAATAGAGGAAAGATAAAGCAGTTTTCATTCATATCCCAAAAGGGTATCACGATGGGGATTGTATACCCACATCAGACACTACAGACAAAGGAGTTAGGTACACAAGTGTTGAGTCACTACTTTCTATTACTCCACTACTAGACAAGGAATTAACAAAAGGGAATTGGCATGGTTTAGAATCCTAACAATCTGCCTAAAAAATGGTGCGTTTTCACGCTTCCATTTCTTCCTATGTCTGCAATCTCCGCACATGTATCGCACATTTGTAATACATAAATATATATATGTGCATTTGGTTGATTCAAAGTCCATTTGAATGTACTCGTGGATTGCCTAAAGTTTAGTATTCGGGCTCCAAATCTTTTTGTGGATGTACAATATATATACACACACACACGTTTGCAGCTAAGTTGTAGTTTATATCTGTCAGCCCTTAAGGGCCATGGTTTGCTTCAATTGCTTGGTCGACGAATTTTTGCCACAAATTAGGTAATCTCTCTGTGAGTTGAAGAAAACAATAGTTGATTCAATGTCCATTGGAATCCGTATGCTTAGGGTTACCTCGGGTTTGTTTTTTCGGTCCACAAATCCTTTGGAAGAAAAATCTCAAAACCATATATTTTTATTGCAGCTAAGTTGTTGCAGTTTATCTCTTTCAGTACATAAGGGCCGTGGATTGATTGCTTGGTCAATGAATTCTCGTCACAAATTATTTGGTTCGGCAATTAATATATCTGTGAGCTTTGGAAGAAGCAGTGTTTGAAAGATCAGTTCAATCTAGTCGATTTATATAATTATAAATTTTTTGATCCACTATATGCTCCGGAGGAGCGCTTTTGACAATTGTCATTTGATTAGTACTGTATAGTTTTTCATCTAAGGTTAAACTGTTATTAGTCCGTCGGGGAGAGGTTTAATGTATTCATAACTTATGTTGGACTGAGTAATAATTCCATTATAAATTTGTGGCATACATCCCGCTTTTGGAATTGTTAATTAGTTATTTGATGATGATGATCAAATTGTTTGAATGTTAATCGAGTATTCGTCTCTCGCAGAGGGAAAGAGAGGTAGATGTTTGCAGTTATCATTCTTTATGTTGGACTGAATAATCCGGTTATTATAACCGAAAATAAAATATAATCTGGTTATAAATTTGTGACATACCTCCACATACTGAATTGGATCTAATTTTCTTCCTTCTTTTCTCTTTTATATTGAGTGGAAGTATGAATGTTACACTACTAGGGGTTGAGTTTGTTATTAATGCTCGGTTGGTTAACATCATGCAATGTTCATAAGGCCTTAATGCATTTAAAGTAATAGTCTATTATACACACTAGTAGCGTTTGAAGTGAAATTTATCTTCACTACTATGTCTACAACTTGTGTTCATAGAGAAAATATTACTGTTCTCTAAAACTCCAGAAGTATTTACATACAGTTTCTATTTTCTGACATGAAATTTATCTTAAAAAATTGTGTACATAGTTACAATTGTTGAGAAAGTCAAGGATCATCATCAAGATACTTGCCATATATTGTAATTAATTATATTCCTATTTTGTATTATGAGCTGTCTATTAGTAGCTAGTTTGTAGGAATTGATTGTAAATATATGACTACATATAGTAGTATTGTAAAGACAATTTCAATTAATGAGAATCGGTGAATTAGAACCTTCCAAAATTTACATGGTACCAGAGCCCTTCCTGGGTTCTTAGTTCCTTTTTTTTCTTGGGTTATGGTGGAGAATTCAACATCAGCAATGGCTAAACTTGAACCATCTAGTGATCCTGTTAGTCCTTTCTTCGTTCATCATTCTAATCACCCGGGAATGATGCTGGTTTCAACCAAACTTACCGGTGAAAATTATGGCACTTGGTGTTGTTCCATGTCAATTGCACTCAGTGCAAAGAACAAATTAGGGTTTGTTGATGGAAGTGTTAAACACCCATATGCGAAGACAAAGCCCACAGAATCTGCTCTTTGGCAACGGTGCAACGACATGATCCTTATGTGGATTATCAATACACTTTCCAGTGACTTGGCCACCAGTGTGGTGTACATGATGACAGCCAAAGATGTTTGGGATGATCTTCGAGAACGTTTTTCTCAACAAAACGTGTCTTGTCTCTTTGAAATCCAACGTGACCTTGCACGTCTTACACAGAGTCAACAACCTATCAACGTGTATTTCACCAAGCTTAAAGGTTTGCGGGATGAGATGGATTCCTACCAAACTTTAAAGTCGTGTTCTTGCGGGGCTGTTCAATCTAATAACGAACAGGTGGAGAGAACCAAGGTTTTGCAGATTTTAATGGGGTTAGACGACTTGTATCTGTGATTCGTGGGCAGATCTTACTTATTCAACCATTGCCTTCTATTCGATCCGTCTATTCCTTGTTGACACAAAAAGAGAAGTAGAGAGGCATGGCTGTTGGGCCTAGCCTCGTTGAACCTGTAGCTATGGCTGTTCAAACGAGTCGTGGCAACAATGGCAACCATGGAAAAGGAAGATCATCTGAGAGGAAGCCGCTGCATTGCTCAAGGATCATCACGTTATTGAAACGTGTTAGAAGCTCCATGGCTATCCACCGGGACACCGTCTTCATGGTAAGTCCAGTAGTTCGAGTGGTTCTGGTGGGTGCGACAACAAGCCGAGCGGCAAACCAGCTGTTAACAACGTGGCCTCCACCGCTGCACCGTCCATGCCCAACCTCACCACCTACCAATTTCAGGAACTCTTATTCATGATGAGTCAAAAGATGGGCCTTGATTCCAAGGCTAATCTAGCAGGTGGGCCTCCTTCTTTCCAATAGGTTATAGATAGTGGTGCCACTGACCACATATCTAGTCTCCCATTGACTAATGCAACCTCAAATCCTCCTCTACCACCTGTGGCATTACCTAATGGGACTCGGGTTCCCATCAATTTTATTGGCACATACAATTTTGGTTCCCAAATATCTCTTTATAATGTGCTTGGCATAGCTTCTTTTTTGATCAACTTAATTTCCGTTAGTCGGATCATTCGATCGTTGGGATGCTCAGTAACCTTTTATCCTGATTTTTGTATTTTACAGGACCTGGAGATGAGGACGATGATTGGTTGGGGGTGACAACATAATGGACTTTATTATTTGGTGGACTCCAAAGGGTGGACATCACCTACAACTACCTCATCTCCCAAGGTTTTTTCCGTCACGTGTCACCGACGACTTGGTCATCCTTCACCCTTGAGACTCCAACTCTTAGCTAAACATTTTCCTGAAATTTCCCTTTCTGAAAATAAACCTTGTGACATTTGCCCTTTGGCAAAACAAACTCGATTGTCTTTTGGATTAAGTCATATTAATATTAAGCATGCTTTTGAACTTATACATTGTGATATTTGGGGTTTCCCATAGAGTAGCATCCCGTTCGGGTGCTTGTTATTTCCTTACTATTGTTGATGATTTTACTCGTTGCACTTGGGTTTATCTCATGCGTCATAAATCAGACACTCAATCTTTGCTTAAATCTTTCATTGCCTATGCCGAAACACAATTTCACCACAAAATTAAAACCATTAGAACTGACAATGGCGGCGAATTTGTTTCTATGCTTCCTTTCTTTAATGATCATGGCATACTTTTTCAACGCTCTTGTGTTTCCACCCCTCAACAAAATAGGGTTGTGGAGCGAAAGCATAGACATATTCTTCAAACCGCAGGAGCTTTGCATTTTCAGTCACATATTCCCTTGCACTTTTGGGATGAATGCATTCTCACATCCATTTACCTAATTAACCGCATTCCCACCCCTCTCTTATCGGGTCTTACACCTTATGAGAAATTATTTGGTCACCCTCCTTCATATACCCGTTTACGCACTTTTGGATGTTTAGCATATGCCACTAATCTTCACCCCCATAAGTTTGATGCTCGGGCTAAGAAATGTGTTTTCATTGGGTATCCTTTTGGCCAAAAAGCTTACAAATTATACGATCTTCATTCCAAACAAATTTTTACCAGTCGAGATGTCACATTTCATGAGAATATTTTTCCATTCCACCCAAATCCTCACCCCTCAACAGTTACCCCACACCCACATACTGACCCAAACACTGCCCCAAACACCGACCCACATACTGATCCCTATACCGACCCAGGCCCACTTTCCTCTCCACCTACTACAGTCCCCATCCCTTCCCACATAGACCACCCCACTACCAACCCGGGCCTTTCTCCTGGCCCAGCACCAGTCCCACAAATACCCACATCTGCCACTGAAGGGCTTGACCAAGTCTCAGTTCTTCCTGATGGGCCTGCTCTCTCTCTGGACCCGTGTCCAGCATCTGCCCAGCCTGCCGCTGCATACCCTGCTCCTTTGCGCCATTCTAGTTGCATCCGAGTTTTGCCGACCAAGCTCCATGATTATGTTTGTCCGACTATTTCGTTGCCCCCGCCAACTGTTCACCTTCCGGTCCTCGTACAAGGTATCCTTTTTCTAATTATTTGTCCTATCAAGGGCTCTCTCCCAAGTATCAATCCTTCATTGCACAATTGTCTACTGTTTTGGAGCCTAACAGTTATACAGAAGCTGCCAAACATCCCCCATTGGTGCAAGGCCATGGACGAGGAACTCCAAGCGCTTCAGGCCAATAACACTTGGACACTTTCTCCTCTCCCTTCCAGGAAGGTACCAATTGGTTGTCAGTGGGTTTATAAAATCAAAAGAAAATCCGATGGGAGTATTGAGTGTTACAAAGCTCGGTTGGTTGCTAAAGGTTACACCCAATTGGAAGGTATTGGCTATCATGATACCTTTTCTCCCACGGCCAAACTTGTCACTTTCCGTTGCTTACTTGCTTGCTGCTACTCACTCATGGTCACTTCATAAACTTGATGTCCATAACACATTCCTTCATGGTGATCTCATGGAGGAAATCTACATGCTTCCCCCGCCTGGTCTTCGGCGACAGGGGGAGAATTTGGTGTGTCGCCTTAATAAGTCGATTTATGGGTTGAAGCAAGCTTCTCGGCAATGGTTTTTCAAGTTCTCACAAGCTATTCGATCAGCTGGTTATGTTTAATCTAAAGCAGACTACTCACTTTTCACTAAGAGAAGAGGGAAGTCATTTACTGTGCTTCTCATCTATGTGGATGACATACTGATAACGGGGAATGACTTGAAAGCAATTGATGATCTCAAATCCTTTTTGAATACCAAGTTTCGTATAAAAGATCTTGGTAATTTGATATATTTTTTGGGAATTGAGGTGGCACGATCGAAACAAGGTATTTTCATTTCACAAAGAAAGTTATGTTCAATCCAAAGCAGACTACTCACTTTTCACTAAGAGAAAAAGGAAGTCATTTACTGTGCTTCTCATCTATGTGGATGACATACTGATAACGGGGAATGACTTGAAAGCAATTGATGATCTCAAATCCTTTTTGAATACCAAGTTTCGTATAAAAGATCTTGGTAATTTGAAATATTTTTTGGGAATTGAGGTGGCACGATCGAAACAAGGTATTTTCATTTCACAAAGAAAGTATTTATTGGATATCCTAAATGATGTTGGTTTTCTAGGATCACGGCCTGCAAGCTTTCCTATGGAACAAAATCTCAAATTACTCCCTGATGATGGGCATGCATTGGATGATCCAGTCAAGTACAGAAGATTGATTGGTCGGTTGATATATCTCACTATAACCCGACCAGATATTACATATTCAGTTCATTTATTGAGTAGATTCATGCAATCACCTCAAAATTCTCATTATGAAGCTGCTTTACGCATCTTAAAGTATTTGAAAGGCACACCAGGGCAAGGCATGATGTTTCCATCTCAAAATTCATTGAAGTTAAAGGCATATTGTGATTCCGATTGGGCAGGATGGCCTACCACTCGGCGTTCAACTACTGGTTATTGCGTTTTCCTTGGAAATAGCCTTATTTCATGGAAAAGCAAACGACAGAAAACTGTATCCTTATCTTCTGCTGAAGCTGAATATATATCCATGGCAGTAGCATGTTGTGAGCTTGCATGGCTCCAAAGCCTTTTTCGAGATCTTCAAGTTCAAGACCAAGGGCCGGCTACCTTGTTATGCGACAATCAAGCCGCTCGGCAAATCCGGTATTTCACGAGCGAACAAGGCACATTGAGATTGATTGTCATTTTGTTCGAGATAAGATTATGGAAGGAAAAATTGTGACAAGATTTGTTCCTTCCATATCACAACTTGCTGATTTGTTCACTAAAGCTCTTGGGAAGGAAAGATTTCATTCTTAGCTAGGCAAGTTGGGAGTTCGAAACATTCACTCACCAACTTGAGGGGGAGTGTTGAGAAAGTCAAGGATCATCATCAAGATACTTGCCATATATTGTAATTAATTATATTCCTATTTTGTATTATGAGCTGTCTATTAGTAGCTAGTTTGTAGGAATTGATTGTAAATATATGACTACATATAGTAGTATTGTAAAGACAATTTCAATTAATGAGAATCGGTGAATTACCACCTTCCAAAATTTACAACAATTGATATTTTGTCTTCTATAGTTGGTAAGTCAAACATTGTAAAGGCATTAACTTCTGTATGATGTTGCAGTTAGGGCATATGGAACAGAGGTGCGTAAGAAGGATGGCCCACAAGTTCTTTCAACTGATAAGGTGTATGAGTATATCCTATTTAGAGCAAGTGACATTAAGGTAAGAGGGAAACGTTATATACTTGATTAAATGTTTAGTTTACTCTCCTTTCTTTTTTATGTGTATCCCTCGATATAAAGTTGTCTTGCTTTATTTTGGTTACTTCTTGCTTTGTGTTGCTAGGCACGAAATTGTTTTGTATTTTTGTTTCTTCTTTAGTCTTCATTAGTAAATTTTTTTATATCATGAAGAACGAGAAGAGAAGTAGAAAATGAATAGAAAGTAGGGGGAAACAGAGATAAACACATGATAGAGATTGAAGAAGAGAAGTGAAATCAAAGAGATTGAGAAGAAGAAAGGAAAAGTTGGATAAAATCCATTATTTGTTATTAAATCATATAGGTGAAACTATGAAACTCCAATTGTAATAAGGCCTGTTTACATACGCCTCCATATTAAGATTAGTATAATTTAAATATAAATAGGAGAAGTAAGTCCGGACCTGTCAGCAAAATTTCGTTACCTAATTAGTTTGGAAACTACAAAACTTGTGCACATATGAATGATGCTATATTTATTGGAAAATTTTGGGGATAGTAAGAAATATGTGAGATAACATTTTCTTTTCTGAAGCATGCAGTATTCTATGTGGCCTTTAAATTGGTTTTCTTCTATATTGCGTCCAGCTTTTTGTCCTTTTCTT